TAGTAAGTCTATTCATGATGAAATGTCAAAGCATACTGAGCATCTTTCTCTTTGACACCATGTCTGAAATCCCACGTGATCTGTCAAATACTAATGCATGAAAATCCTAACCTCAAAAAAATCACCCGTTAGTATTCCTTCTCCCATTAACAGTCAAAAAGTAAGGTGGTAAAAACTCAATGGTTTTAATAGGTTCGAATATAACTATTAATCAATACAAATGTTCCTAGTGGTAACACTTATCGAATGTGAAATACAGCAGCGGCTAGTTATTAACAGCAGCTTTATATGATTTTATGATTGCTCTCAGTAAGAAACCGTAACCACACAAATATAAAAATTTGCTTTAGTCAGTGAGGAATATAAATCAGCGGAAAAAATAAATCTCTGCGGAATGATGGCTGTATGGAAGTTACCTATATATAAATGTAAGAAACCATTTAAAATCAGCCTCCAGGGTGAGCATCGGTGAAGGAGAATATATATATCTCTAGAAATTTATTGCATGTATATAAATTTCTGAGGAACACCTTTACAACGTTGCGCAAGGGTTATTTTCGAGCTCTGACTTTTAAGATAACGTTTGCTTAACCTCATTCTGAATTTCAAACATCTATTACCTTAGTAAATTAAATAATCACAAAAAAAACTTTCCTTTAGCTACATATCGTCATCTGAAATGCAAAAAAAGATCGTAACACATCGTAAATAAATGGAAAAAGTCGTGACTAATTTTTATTTTTTGTTTTATAATGATGTGTGGAGTTGTATTCGATGAAATCCATACATATAAATCAAGAAAGTGAATTTTGAATTTTTTATTAGTTATGAACTTTTTGCATTTACAGCGATGATGTTTGTTACGCCTTTTTGCATTTCAGGTGACGATATGTATATGATACAGAATCGCTACCATGTGTTTTCATAGCGTGTATATTCACTTTTTCTAGTCCGGTGGCAAGTCATTCCGATTAATTAATCACTAGCGTTGAGCCTGATAAACAGAAATTACCTGACAACCTACATACATATGTACATAATATGAAACTGAGCATCATATACCCTGTCTATCATTATCTTTATCGAAGAAACCTGACTTCGTATTAGCGTTTTGCCGCCCTTTTCATTCCAATGGACATTCGGTTAGCGAACAAAATCATAATTTTTGTCGGGTATTTGAAATGAAAAATTAAATAAATATTCTACATTTATAGATTACTTAATGTGTATAGTTTATCGCAAAGGACGATCATATCTTCGCAGGAAGGTAAAATCTGTTTCATCCGAACATAAACTAATTGACAGAACTTAACCAGACTGACATACTTAATAATGAAAAAAAGAAAAAAAATCAACGAATCTATATTAAATCGGTGAACAAAAGCAACTAGCTTTCGAAAATGGACTGCCAAATTTCCGGGAGGATCAATTCAAAGAACTATGCGAGTGCATAGCACAAAAGTAGAATCTTCTTTGCTGTCTGGTTAGGCGTTGCAATGTAAATGGTTTGTCCCTAACCTAAAAGGTTTTAAGCATCCCGACGAGCAAACACAATTTATTTATTAGGTATCTAAAAGTCCCAGTTGTATAGCTCAGCTGAAAGGTAAAGGAGATTCGTTAAGCAAAAAACACTTTGACAAATTCGGCATTACATTGCATCAATATATGTACACGCCCAACAACAACAGCTATGTGCACGCATAGACTCCTTCATAGGAAGTTATTTGTATCTACTCCTCTTTGCTTGATTGCACGTAGGAGTAAAGAAGCTACAGCTGGAATACATACTACATACATATATAAATATATAAAGGAAAGCCAGAAGTATGAGAAGTAGAGTAGGTGAGGAAGCGTTCGATCGTTTTCGATCATCAAATACAAGTATCTTTACCGTACTCGTTTCTTCGGCAGCTGTGCCGACGAGCTGTGTACTCACCAGTTGGTATTTCGTAGATTTGTTCATCTTCTTCAAAAGGATTTTTACTAACCGGTGCTTCTAGCTTTTGACCGTTGTGGCTGTTTTGCGTATTAACAGCATTAATATTTTGCTCCGAATTTGCGGGAGCTTCGTTATTAACTTTGATATTATGGTCATTGGTAGCGACGGTGCGCTTATCAACGTTTTCACATTGATTGGGCACAGTCGCAGCGGCGCGAGATTTTCGAATCAAATTCAATGGGTTCAATAACTGTGCTTTGTGTCTTTTTGGTGACTTTTGAATGACTTTACCTCCTGATTTTTTACTCGTCTCATCCGCATTGCCGTTGTTAACATCTGTCGCCGTTGTCGTTGGTGTTGTTGCTGTCGCCGGTGGGGTAGCATTGGTGGTGGTCGATTGCGTCGCCAATGAACTCCCATTGATGTCGTCGCTGCTGTTACCATTCAGCTGTTCTGGTGTAGGTTTCGCCCCTTTTTTTGCAGTGTGGCTGCTACCCTCGTCTACGCTGTTAGAGGTCGGCGCTGCAGCTGCTGTCACATTCGATTCTACTTTGTTGTTGGTTGCTACTGCGTCGGTCCTGATTGATGATGCTTCAGCACCGGCAGCAGTTGCAGCAGCTGCAGCAATTTGCGTTTGCGCAACAATTGTATTTTCGTTCTTCTCTGTCGTCGGCGCACCGAGAGTGTTCGCGGTGTTCGCATTTGGACTGTCGAGTACAGCGCTGTGGCGTTGCTCGCTGCTGTTATTACTGTTATTCGGCGTCGCCACATTTGTAACTGTCGAAAGTAGGTCAGCAGCATGCTGATATGAAGGCGGAGCCACTGGTCCGGCGAGGGGGCTATTTTCCGGCGTAGATGGTGAGCCAACGCTGGCGTTGGAGAGGGTGGGGGCGGCCGCAGTGGAGGCTTTCAAAATTTCCGGCGTCGATTCTGGTGTTGGAGAAACTGAGTCAAGCCTGGATGTTTGATGTGAAGAGCTTGTGGATGTGGATGATGCTGTTTTTTGTTTTTGTGTTCGTTGTGTGATTGTGGTTGTTGTTTCGTATGTAGATTTGCGAATTACAGTTTACGAATTTTTGATTTCGAATTTTGATTCCAATTGAAATTTTCATTTTATTCCATTTAGTTGTGTTGTTAAATTTTTTTTGTTTAGTTGGTTGCAATAATCAGTTGTTAGAGGCATTCCAAACGAAACGAAATGAAAGAAAATTTGGGGGAAACAAGAAAATAAGAAACTCATCACATGCATGTCAAATGGTTTAAATTTTGCAAATGAAACAACAATCGCTTAAATTTGTAAAAAAGAAAAAAACATAAAGAACATAACCAAAGCGATAGCGAGGGGCATGCAAATTTCGTTACCAAAAATCATAATCAAAGCTTAGATGAAGCTTAAAAGCATACACACGCTCACACACAAAATACGGTAATGATTTTTGAAATAAAAAGCTTAATTGGCCTGAAGTGTGTTTTAAAACTCTATTACATTAGCTTTGTCAAGCAGCAGAGGTCGCTAAAACCCGATTCAGCAATGCGATATGTTGATACATTCAGTGGAATGCGCCCAATGGCACAACGACTACTTGTGCAGGTACATTATTAATGCAGTAGATCGGTTGTTGATTTTCTCTTAAATCGGGTAAAAGTATTTGAGTGGCATATTAACTCTGTTATGAGTGCGTTGGGGGGCGGGGTGACTCCGTAGTCTCAAGTTCTCTGATTCAGCTTGTTTTTTAATTTCTTCTGAAACGGTGAGAATCTTGAGTTCCCGGTGGAGTTGGGTAGTCCAAATCGGTTTTATGGTTGTTAAGTAAAGTAATAGTTTGTTTTCTACTGATAATTGAGAGTATCGAGAGAATCGCTCAGGCGGTTACAGCGCCAAATAAGAAGAAGTAGTAGGACTATACGGGCTATTGAGGGAGTCCAGAATGTACTAAAATGTTATAATATGTTTCTCGTTACGAATAATTGTTCTTTCTACATCCTTTCAAGTTTATAATGAGAAAATGTAAATTAACACTGAGAAAACACATATTCATAATTATCAATTATAATTATTAATTATCATTATAATGAGAAAATTCATAATGAGAAAATACATAACTCAGTTTGTGGGGATTGCAGTACCTCGAAAGTGCAGTGGATGAAGCAAAAAAACGCTATTGCGGGAGGAGAGACTGCGAACGTGCAATTCAACATACGATTACATTCCAGACAGGATGTTCTAAACTTAAACGATATGCACGGGGGCTATAAATGTACTCTCCAACTTTAATTTAGCGTTGTAAATGTACTTGCTATTGTAAAGTAAAGTTTCTTGCAGTGTCCTTTGATTGTTTCTTTAATTTACCTCATGACGCAGGCTTAGCTCGCAGACTCCAGAGTAATGTACTAGTAGCTCTTCATTGTTATAATTTTTTTGTGTGTTTCATTATCAATTTGCGTTCTCATTATCAATTTGTATATTCTTAATAAGAAATTACATTTCCCATTATTAATTTGTATTTTCTCAGTATAAACATGAAGAGGTTGGTTTAGTAGAGATCAATAGATCAAAAGAACAAAAAACTCCAAGAAACTGGAAGAAACATTTTAAAACTGTTTAAACGGAAGAATAGAGAGATGTACAGCAGCCATTTTAAAAACTTGTTTTATATCTTTGGTGAAAACAAAACACGTGCACGTGTTGGAAAAAAAAAATAGTAGAAACAGGTTATTATTCTGCAATTTGATGAGCTTCCTTTTATTTGCACAAAACTGTTTAGGGAGCGACGATAAAAACAGCATACACCGGAAAAATTGGGCAATTTTAGAAGTAAACACCAAACTCGCTTCCGTAAATTAAATTTAATATTGCAGAAGANCCAAAAATCATAATCAAAGCTTAGATGAAGCTTAAAAGCATACACACGCTGCCCACACACAAACGGTAATGATTTTTGAAATAAAAAGCTTAATCGGCCTGAAGTGTATTTTAAAACTCTATTACACTAGCTTTGTCAAGCAGCAGAGGTCGCTAAAACCCTATTCAGCAATGCGATATGTTGATACATTCAGTGGAATGCGCCCAATGGCACAACGACTTCTTGTGCAGGTACATTATTAATGCAGTAGATCGGTTGTTGATTTTCTCTTAAATCGGGTAAAAATATTTGAGTGGCATGTCAACTCTGTTATGAGTGCGTTGGGGGCGGGGTGACTCAGTAGTCTCAAGTTCGCTGATTCAGCTTGTTTTTTAATTTCTTCTGAAACGGTGAGAATCTTGAGTTCCCGGTGGAGTTGGATAGTCCAAATCGGTTTTATGGTTGTTAAGTAAAGTAATAGTTTGTTTTCTACGGATAATTGAGAGTATCGATTTATGAGCCAATATATATATTAATTTTATTTTTGTTTTTATAAAATTAGTAAGAATTGGCACAGACGAAGAACGACTCGCGTACTTTGTTTAACTCGGCGAAAATCGCTCAGGCGGTTACAGCGCCAAATAAGAAGAAGAAGTAGGACTATAGGGGCTATTGAGGGAGTCCAGAATGTACTAAAATGTTATAATATGTTTCTCGTTACGAATAATTGTTCTTTCTACACCCCCATTCAAGTTTATAATGAGAAAATGTAAATTAACACTGAGAAAACACAAATTCATAATTATCAATTATAATTATTAATTATCATTATAATGAGTAAATTCATAATGAGAAAATACGTAACTCAGTTTTTGGGGTGTGCGAGCAAAGATTGCAGTACCTCGAAAGTGCAGTGGATGAAGCAAAAAAAAACTCTATTACGGGAGGAGAGACTGCGAACGTGCAATTCAACATACGACTACATTCCAGACAGGATGTTCTAAACTTAAACGATATGCACGGGGGCTATAAATGTACTCGCCAACTTTAATTTAGCGTTGTAAATGTACTTGCTATTGTAAAGTTTTTTGCAGTGTCCTTTGATTGTTTCTTTAATTTACCTCATGACGCAGGCTTAGCTCGCAGACTCCAGAGTAATGTACAAGTAGCTCTTCATTGTTATAATTATTTTGTGTGTTTCATTATCAATTTGCGTTCTCATTATCAATTTGTATATTCTTAATAAGAAATTACATTTCCCCGTTATTAATTTGTATTTTCTCAGTATAAACATGAAGAGGTTTAGTAGAGATCAATAGATCAAAAGAACAAAAAACTCCAAGAAACTGGAAGAAACATTTTAAAACGGTTTAAACGGAAGAATAGAGAGATGTACAGCAGCCATTTTAAAAACTTGTTTTATATCTTTGGTGAAAACAAAATTTGATGAGCTTCCTTTTATTTGCACAAAACTGTTTAGGGAGCGACGATAAAAACAGCATACAGCGGAAAAATTGGGTAATTTTAGAAGTAAACACCAAACTCGCTTCCGTAAATTAAATTTAATATTGCAGAAGGAAAGTACTCTTGTTGGTTAAGTGGCATTGAATAAGGTAATCGAGCAAAAATTGGGAGTGACAAGTATTACAAAAATTAAGAGGAAATTGTGAAGCAAATTACAGAATTTACTAAATCTTGTACGAAAAAAGATAAAAACGAGAAATTGTAGCTCGTTAGGAAAGTCAGTGTTCGAGAATACTTTTGAGGCTCGGAGAAGCTTAGTACCGACTCGTAGCTTAGAGTAACTAATCCCACAACCAGTATGGGCCTAAGGAGGAAAGTTCATTATCAAAAACTCTCGCAAAAGTACCCTTATGTGTCTACATGTTGTGCCTCCTTCTGCTTATTAAAAAAAAACGCACGGTTTGACCTACGCAAGTGTAAAGTGAATTTAACTAAACTAAAACTGAAAAATTAAATCAAACAAAAAGGAAATATAAGCTAATCATTAAGTGTTGTTATGCATGGGCATTAAATCTAATACAATTATATACACACATACATACATACATATAAATCTCACGCAAATCCTTAGCCATGAAGCGCAAACTTACAAATTAATAATAGTTGAAACAATTAATTAAACATTTTACTTTTTAATTGTAAAATATCCCAGCAAAGAACATCTCCTTCAACTATTAAAAATCTTTGTTTATTTGAGCTTTGCAGAGACTAATTCAAAAGATATTGTAACTACCAACTAAATCAGGAAAAAGTTTTTATTGAAATTTATGGANATTGGGAGTGACAAGTATTACAAAAATTAAGAGGAAATTGTGAAGCAAATAAAAGAATTTACTAAATCTTGTACGAAAAAGATAAAAACGAGAAATTGTAGCTCGTTAGGAAAATCAATGTTCGAGAATACTTTTGAGGCTCGGAGAAGCCTAGTACGGACTCGTAGCTTGGAGTAACTAATCCCACAACCAGTAAGGGCCTAAGGAGGAAAGTTCATTATCAAAAACTCTCGCAAAAGTACCCTCATGTTGTGCCTCCTTCTGCTTATTAAAAATACGCACGGTTTGACCTACGCAAGTGTAAAGTGAATTTAACTAAACTAAAACTGAAAACTTAAATCAAACAAAAAGGAAATATAAGCTAACCATTAAGTGTTGTTATGTATGGGCATTAAATCTAATACAATTATATACATACATACATACATATAAATCTCACGCAAATCCTTAGCGATGAAGCGCAAACTTACAAATTAATAACAGTTGAAACAATTAATGAAACATTTTACTTTTTAATTGCAAAATATCCCAGCAAAGTACATCTCCTTCAACTATTAAAAATCTTTGTTTATTTGAGCTTCAGAGACTAAATCAAAAGATATTGTAACTACCAACTAAATCAGGAAAACAATTTTTTATTGAAATTCATGGAATGCAAATTTTTTGTAAAGCAATATTTATTCAGCTAGATGCATTAGGATGGAAGTTATTGAAAAGAAAATAAGCAAAAAGTGTTGCAAAAAGAAAATAGAAATAAAACGCATTAAAATGACCAACAACATTCTAAGATGACATAAAAATATGAAAACAAGATTATAGACTAAAATTAATTTATTTTTCTCTCTCTCTCCCTCTCTCTCTCTATTTGCTCACTCGCTCTTAAATTCTTTCACGCACGCATTCAATTTAGCATTGCGATTGCATTCGCATTAGAGTATTTTACTACAAAATAAAGCGCTATTTCGAAAGTCAACAGCAGCAACCTCCAAGAAATATAATTTACATGAGGTGTNTATGAAAACAAGATTATAGACTAAAATTAATTTATTTTTCTCTCTCTCTCTCCCTCTCTCTATTTCCTCACTCGCTCTTAAATTCTTTCACGCACGCATTCAATTTAGCATTGCGATTGCATTCGCATTCGAGTATTTTACTACAAAAATAAAGCGCTATTTCGAAACTCAACAGCAGCAACCTCCAAGAAATATAATTTACATGAGGTGTTGGTATAATTTGCGTGTATGCACTAAAATACTTACGACTATTGACATTACTAGAGCCATTTGTGGTGATCTGATTTTGATAGTTGCTGTTGTTAGTGGGGCTTGTGTTGTTCATTTGCTTGAATGGCGACGTCTTTGTGGGGCTTGGTGCGGAAAAGGAAGAGCCTGGGGGGGCGAAAAGAAGACGAAATAAAGAAGTGTGTACCATATATCGCACAGCGCTACTTACTTTCCATAAATTTACTAGTTTGTTTGCGTAGCGTATTCGAGCCGCGTTGCGAATCCGTTGCTAATTTGTCCACAATCGCCTCCAATTCGGAGTAGATCTAAGACGAGCGCGGGTTAGTGAGCTACAAATTTACTATTAGCTTAGGACTCACCTTCGCCGTTTCATTGTGAAACACTTGTTCCGTTGCAAAGAGCGTCTGCAAATTGGTAACCAAAAACAATATTCTTGAATCATATAAGGCGGGCAACTCATCATGCAATTCAGTGTTGAGAATTTCATATGTGCGACGTGCTTCCTCCAGCTGCTCGCGTCCTTTAGTGAGCTTTATTTTTAGATCGATAACGAAATATTATTACAAATTAGGGCGAATCAAGAGAATAACATTTTAACTTTGTACATAATACTTAATAATTATTGTTAGTTTTTTGTATGGTCAATAGAAATCACACCTTAACATCATCCTTGCGCTTGTTGGCATTCGCCTGTAGACTCTGGAACGAGTGACGTTGGCCATCATAGTCGATCAGCTTTCTATTGCGTTTGTCCACTTTTTTCTGTTAAAATAGCAAATATTTTTTGTTTTTAAGTACATATGTAATATAATTTGTGTCCATAACAAATTACATACCTTCATTTCCGGAAATTGTCCAGTGTACGTATTCAATGGAATTAGTACTTGATCTGCCAATTTATGGGCGAAATCTTGCCAAAGGCTTTCGGTTGCGCCAGCCTGCGCCTGCAACGCATCGTACCCGACCCAGTGTGGTTCATAGACTTCCGATATGGCATCCATTAGCGACTTGGAAGCAGCTTGAGCAGCTGTAATAAATACACCCAACATTAGCGATCTTTTAAGTGAACATAGGAACACATAATTTCTTTTTCATTCGCAATATTTACCTCGAATGCATCTGATGTAATTGTTGAACTCTTTTTGTAATCTGTTGGCATTGGTTTGTTGGCGATTGAAGTTATTTAAATGTTCATCGAAGATATCGTCAGCGGTACGATCGACTTTGCCCAAGTTTTGCAAAATCTGAAAGAATAATAATAAAAAAAAAAAAAAACAAATCTATGAAATAGTAATTGTAACGAAAATGGTATAATTTCTTCTCAAGAAGAATGTTAAGTTAGTGAAATGCCGGATTTCCACTGGGCATTAAATGTCACAAATTTTAATCACAAAGTTGGGCATTAAAAAATACTTGTGCCAAAACGTTAAGAACAATTGTCATTAAATTCGTTTCCACATGGCATTTTTTTAATCATTTTTCGTAATTTCAATGCCTAGTGGAAATTCGGAATAAGGGCGTAATTTGATAAACACCTTTTCAAAATATGTGTGTTATACATAAATATGTGTGTTATACATAAATATGTATGTATGTACATATATATGTACATTAGACTGCGCCTTAGTGTAAAGTGGTCAAAATTGCCTATAAGTCCTAATATGTCTTAATGGCCCTTGATGAAGTTTTGTCCCTCGAAATTGTTGAAAATGGCGAAAATCGTGGCAATGCAAAATTTTTTCGCTCTTTTTGCTTATTATTTACAATAAAAATAAATTGTGGCATCACAAAGCACAATCTTACATTGTCTAAGTGAGCTCCGGTTATACGGGGCTGCCACCTTGCCTAACCTAATCCACAATAAAAAATAATTTTTTTATAAAAAAAGCTTGTATGTATATAAAAAATGTGGGAAATTAAATTCTCTAAAAATTTGTATACAACCATGTTTTACGAAAAATGCAAAATAAGCTTGCAAATCGCAAAAAAACCCAAAAAAAAACTAAAATTCACGATGGCGGAATGTTCGTATATGAAATTAGGGGGGGAAGATTGTAGATCCATGCTCTACGTGTCAAATAAAAGTAAACTGCATCAAAAACTCGCTACTAAATAAATTTTTTTTCTTTGCACCAATTTGATCTTAATTTACTGGGCTAAAAATTAACTTCGCAAAACCTACAAAATGTAATATTTGACATCGGGGAACAAAACAACATCAAGTGCCGTTAAACACTATTAAATTTCCCACTGATTTATAGGCAATTTTGAACACTTTGTGAAAAATTCCATCGACTAGCTAAACTTTAGCATCTTTAAGGCAAGTCTTATCCGTTATCCGATTTAAAAAAAATGTATCGCAGGTCACGTTTTTATGACCAAATCAACTTTCCGGGGACGAGTGTTCCTGCGTAGGGCAAAGTTGCAAAATAAGGAGCAGTCTAATGTACATACATGCTTATTAGTGTATATATATTTAACCNTTTGGTAAATTTTATAAATTGCATACCGACAACCTTAAGAGCGTCGAATATGCAGCCATCGAGCGAGTACATAAGTCCATATGAATGAGTGGGCAGTGGGCAAAGTGTATGGAGCACGGGCGTACATACATATGGAATAATGGTAAGTGAAGTTTATTGTAGGTAAATTCGTTGTATGTACATATGTATGTATGTATTTATGGTGCACTTCACCTTGACATTCACATCGTTTTTACTCCAGATGTTTTCAAACGTAACAAAGTATGTAGCTAAATAGGCACTGCACTGCGTGTAAATACATACATACATATGTACATATGTAGAAAATGTTCAGATTTATGTGAAACCGCACTACTGAATACTTTGTTTTGATTTCCATTGTAAAAAAAAGTTAAAATAATAAATAAATTATTATACATACTCACACACATACATACATACATATGTACATACATACTCGTAGGTAGTAGCTTGCATACATATGTATGTTCAATTGTCAAAAGTATTCAGCTTACTACTAATACGACACGTTGGCGCACGAATTCTTGTCTGGCCGCCTACAATCCGCCAGTGAACAATAATAAACAACAACAATTTTGTTCCGACTTTTGACTAGTTAATAAACGATTTGTTATACTGGCAACATAAAACTAATTCGCAGTAAATATTTATAAAGCTTGCGCTTTGTGTTCTACGAGCCACCATGCCCGTGGCTTTAGTAACGACATCAACAAATGATAAAGCCAAGCCAACGAACATTATTTGACTGCGAATGTTTCTAAAGTCAGCGCGTCCATTCTATTCCCATTAAAGAAATTTAGTTACCTTTTACGACTTTCTGTTAAAATATTGATAAGATTTTATAGTAATGTACATACATATGTACATAAACACAAAGGAGCCATTCCATTGTGATTGGTGGGACATTTTACTCCAGAATGTGATCAATTGTGAATTATAACTACATATGTCGTCGGAACTTATACAACAGCGAAAGATAATTTTTAACATAGAACGATAACTAATGTATAAAATTGATTTAACAAAAATACCACATGATTTCTTAGTGGGGCACTGATGAATATTGGCAAAAAAAAACGAAATTTGAACTATACACTTTCGTCTTCAATAAAAATTGGGCTTATGTATGTACACATGTAATCTTCATAGAAATAATAAAAAATATTTAAATTTGTACTGGTGGCGCATGTCCTTGTGACTGGTGTATAGTAATGATGCATAAAGTAAAAATTTCCATACACAAAAATTATAACTTCTTATTTCTTTAATATTTTTCAACAGATTAATGAAATGCAGTCGTTTTCCTCGTTTGCATGGAATAACCCAAATACAAAACGATGACGATACTGATCATGATAGACATACCGATAAAACGCCGATATTAATATTGGTATCGATAAATGTGGCAATTATAATTACGAAAACGGTGTCGACAATGAGAACAGTAAAATAGGTGCCATTGATAATGATGAAAGATTCCGGTAAGGATAACAATAATATCAATATCACGGCCGCCTACGGGCTTTTAAAACGCTATAAAATGTATGCCAATCGGAAACTTGGCACTTGCGACCCCTTCGAAAACCCTCAAATAATATCAGTTCATCACTTTCTGCTTAAACTGCACTATTTAGAAGACTAAGTTCTTATCAATCTTTTGTTGCCGCTATAAGTTATTCCCGCGACACCAATAAAAACAACAAAGTTTTAATGGAACAACAAAACCATTCGTTCTTCGCTTTGGTTGAGCTGCTTTGACGTGTGGCCGGCCGTATGCCGTATCGCCAACCGTTTCAACAAAAATCATGGCTTCCAGTTGCGGTTGATTGCTGCTGCTTTAATCCAATAAAAAAGAGAATCTATTGCCACAGAAAATCCAACACATTTCGCAAATGGTTTGGCACACTCGCAAAATCCCAGAAATTCAAAAAAAAAAAAAAAAAAAAAAAAGCTGCAATAAATTAAGAAGCTTGGAAGTATGTATGTACATACATACATAAAGTTTATAGCTTTGTCAGTTACTCGTAACTTAAGCTGATGCCAGATAAAACGCTTGCTTCGCTTTACGTGACAGAT